TTCGGAATTATTCAATGTTTGATGTGGATTTAACTAAAAAATTGAATCGTATTTGAGATTTAAAAAAATTTGAGATACAAATGTTCAAACGAAAGGACAAATTTTCTTTTTTTTTTTGGAAAATTGTTTTATATACTAAATAACCAGAACTAAAATATGACTTACACGAGTATTTTGTTTGGCCAATACGATTAATATTATACGAGTTTACGACAAATATCCTACATGGAACATAAGGCATCTCATGAAACCAATGATCTCGTTATATAATCGATCATTCTTCAACAATAATCAATTAGTAAAAAAATCTTCACATGGGTAGGCAAAATAATCAAACCGAATCGAATTAACAAAAAAATCATTACAATTAAACTAACTAATTACTTTTATACTTTATTTTAACTAAAATCTATAATAGGAATTAAAATAATTATTTTTTTTTATTATAATTTTATACTAAAACCGAACCGTCGCCTTTACCAACATCAATTTTTTACTCCCCAACATATATATATTTTATTTATTCATCAACAATATCTTATAACAAACTTGAAAAAAAAAAACACTCAAATAATCCAATAGCTGCATGAAAGAGTTAGTAACAAAAACCAAAAGCTATCACATATTTTTGTTTATGAAAAAGTAGTTTTGTTTTAAAAAGCCAACTATGTTATTTGAAGACATATCAAATAGAGTTATTTAGATAGGTAGCCTAATTTTGGAAAACAGTAACAAAACAACGGATGAGCAAACATTGGTCCAAATGGAGCTAAACTTTTTCGTCGGAAATCTTGGCATGAATCCTTACCGGAAACTTATCGAGCTCGTTAAGAACCTTCTCAAAGTCCAAGACCAATCTCTCCGCTAAGGTATGAGAAAAATCTTGTCGGATCACAATGCGGAGGACGATGATGTGTTCTGCATCCGCGGGCATTGTGTAAGCCGGAATAATCCAGCCGAAGCGGCGGACATTTTTTGCCACTTCGAACTCGTTGTAACGACTACTGTCTTTAAGAGAGAACGCCACTAACGATACGCCATTTTCTTTAGAGACAATGTTAAAACGTCCCGTTTTCTCTAATCCTTCTCTTAAGAACATCATGTTTTCTCTACAATTATCCATCACGTTGCGATATCCCTAAACAAACAAACACAAAAATCATGATTTTGTATACAAAAAAAAAAATTATAGAGAAAACATGATGTAGAGCAACAATTTAGTTTAGACCGAATTATTTTGATTCGATCTATTCATATACATAGTATTAACTCTATTAACATTCTGAAAAATGGTAATGTGGTCATTGTTGAGTTACTAATTACCTCGAATCCAAGACGAATCAGCTGGTAGTATTGAGCAATCACTTGACTTGAACCTGGTTCATATTTACGAATCATTAATTCATAGAACAATTCC